ATTTGGATGAACTTTGAAAAAGGTTGCAATGTACAGCTGACATCAAAAGTTTCTGGCACTTTTAAGAGCTAAATATAAAAACCACACTCAATCAAACATGTGAAAATAATGAAACTCAATCTGAAAAGAGAAAAAAATATGTATATAGAGGTTATCTATAACTTCAAACAGAGAAAAACAGATTAATACTTAAAAGAGTTCAGTTTTTATTTGTAGCTTATAGCTTTAAAAAGCAATAAATACAATTACTTTTCTGACACAACATTTCAGACATTCGAGGGCATTCAAAACCCAGACCATCAGCTAGTATGCCAGGGGTTTAACTGCCATCTCAAGTTAACATAAATTTGTGTAACAGTTTATCTTGTGAAATATACTTCCCATTCTTCATAGCTGCCAAGATTGTTTGTCTTACATATGCTACACTGTTAACTCACTATGCACCATCTGCAGTATTTGGAAAGAAGTTCCCACTGCACACAGTTTTTTGTATTTCCCAATCAGCATGTCAAATTCAGTGTATTGCAATTAAACTGAAGCTATATGAGCTGGGGGACAAATATCTCAGGTTGGTAAACACAAAGTGAATTTACCTAAATTAAAGTAAACTCTGCTGTAAGAAAAGGAAATTGTGCACTATGATACATCTGCCACTAGAATACTGTGACAAAAACATAGCTGTTTTATAAATCAAATAGAAGGTGATGCCATTATAGAAAATTTGTACTTAGTTATTCAGTATTTTCCATGTTCTGAAATTATAAATGTGCATCCACATTACTCATGCTCGTGCGTCAGAAGCTTACTGCTGCTGGAACATCAGGATCTGGAGCTGACGAAGTGGATGCCCAAACTGGTTTGCATACAAAGCCTTCACATTTCTTCACAACAGATATTAGCTCCAAATCCTAATTTTCCGGCAGCAGTAAGCTTCTGACGCACGAGCATGAGTAATGTGGACACTCCTTAACACTTTGCGGACCGGTGATTTATATATTTAAATCACCCTACTACCCTAACTTTTGCACTGTTCACTTTAAAAATTAATATAAAATCTCCTAATTAATTTTATGAGCTAAAATTTTTGGAGAAGACTTACCAATGCTCCTAGAAGTGTTTGAGAGTGTGATAGTTCTGGAAACATTCCCCTTTGTGAAGTGGCATTACACACTTGCAAATGTAGACATAGTCCTTTTTTTGTGAACTGCGCAAACATGGCATTGCCTAGAAGGATGCTTCCCCTTGGTATGTTCACTCTTCACAATTTTCACGAGGGTATGTTTCCACATATCACCCAAGAGTCGCCCAGGGGTGTCCACGTGAGGCCTGCGTGGGGTGGGAGTAGACGGACCCGGTCACACTAAGACTGTGTCTGCCGCCACTGTGTGGTCTGTACCCCAGGCTTTTGCCACATTCAGCAGAAATGCCTTGTATTTCAATTTTGAACGAGGGTTTAGATTTTTGAAAACAAAAAATTAATTGAAAATGGCACAATTTAAAGCCGCAAGGCAACTTTCTTTGTCCACTTTACTGTTTTCCGAGGAAGAGAATAATAGGCCAAGTACTGATCGGCTCTATCAACTCCCTTCATGAACATGTTATACTCGGAAATATAAACAGGCTTCATTACCTGTCCATGTCTCCTTTGAGCATCAACCATTCTCAAATTGTGAATTGTGGAAATCATATTCACAAAATGAGTATCCCTCCAGGACTGAAGAAGAATATCCCCCTTCCTCCTGAATGTAGTTTCACCACGTTTCAGGGATTTACATTCCTCTTTCAGATCTGGAGGAAGGCCTCTGTTCACCCTAATTGTTCCACAAACACATACTTTTCTCGAAAGTAGGTGTTTTGCAGTTGCCACACTGTTATAATAATTGTCTTGATAGACATGGTAATTATGTTCAAGATAGGATTCCAAAACGGAAAGAATAGTTTCTTGTAATTTCTTTCCTTCACCAGAATAAAATTCTAAATTTCCAATATAGCCTGAAGTGCTTTCAGTAACTACACGAACAAGTAGGCCATACTTTGTAAGTTTCCCAGGATTATATGTTCGCATATTGCACTACTCACTTACAGCTTGCTATGTACAGCTTGAAGAAATAAAGGCATTTATTTTCCTTTGCAGGGGCATACAGTTACAGCGAGGTCACATAACTGATTAGTCAGCAAACATTCCAGAGGCTTATCACGCAGCTGCAGGCAGCTACGTGCAAGCTGGGTGGCGTCAGAGAGATGTAGAGTGTGTTGCAACTTATCGTGTTATAAAAACGTATTAATGCGTGCACGGTCCGCAAAGTGTTAAGAGGAACATACCTTTATGTATTCACTCTAAAATGAGAAAATATGATTACGTCAAATACATGAACAACCATGAAAAAATAAAGCACTCTACAATGAATAAAAAAGAATAGGAAAGATCATGTGTGGTCTCATACTGAATTTGAGCAGCCAAAGGGTTAAATAACATTTTTATGACATACATTTTCCTCAGCCATTGCATTCTATAACATACAAGTATAAGCAAAATTAGAATTGAATTTCATCAAGTGCAACAGTGCTTTTTAATAATAAAATAGACATCTCAAAGTTCATGATGGTGGATTAATACAAATGTTTCTGAACATTATTCATCCTGTTTCTATTTAAAACACGTTTTGGAAACTGGATCCTGTCTCCACCTTCAGGTAAAACCTACTCAGTTGGGCCCAATGGATAGAGCTAGCCCCTACCTCCAGACACCCGCACCAACACAAGGTAGGGCATACAAATCAAGTGCAGCAAAATCCATCTATCAGAGTTAAGGCAAAACATTAAAATCTCCACATGTATGAGGCTTAGCACCACAGAACCATCAGAATAGATGTCATCACTGGACAGGTAAATTATCTGTATGGCACCAACATTAAAAAAATCCCACTCAATTTACACTGGACAGAGTTGCAGTTCTTTTACGTCTGCTGTGATAACGGGAGTCCAGATGGAAGAGATGTCCAATCTGGGTTGACTGATTGGATGATCTATCAGAGACACTTGGGCAGATTCCTTGTATTTCGTGTATGTGGTGTTTCATTTAATCTGCAAGACTGTCACTTCTTTCCAACATATTTTGTTAATCCATTCTCTGAAACACTGTGTTTTAAATAAAAATAGGATGATGGATGTCTACAAACATAATATTTGTAATAAAATAGAGCTTTTACATGTTTTGGCCAATGATGGCCCTCATAAGAAGGTGATCAGCACTTCAAAGGAAATGCTTTATATTTTCACGTGTAGAGGGTACGTGTGACGAAATGATGGGTTCTAGTTCAGATGATTGGATTTATTGACAGCTTGGTTACACACTCTCTCTCAATTACACTATCGCTGATTTACAAGGTGGTTCAAATTGACAGGGTCTGATATGTGTGTAAACAAGCTGCACTGCACAGCAGCTGTGTGACCGTGCGAGAGTGAAGTCACAACATCCACCCTCCCTCCTGTTCGGTCCTGTCTGGGAGTTGCTAGAGTGATGAGCAAACAGAAGGTACTGCGGAGCGTGGAACATGCCATTGTGATCAAATTCCTTGTTGGAGAAAATGTCTCGTCCGCTGAAATTCACCAGACTCCAACAACAGTATGGGGAAGAGTGTCTCTCACGGACCCATGTGTCTGAGTGGTGTAAGTGCTTCAGCGAGGGCAGAGAGCGCATGGAGAATGAACATGAACGTCGGCCGCGAACATCCATCACCGAGCCAAACATTGATCGTGAAGGCGTGCTTATTCGTGGGAATAGGCATATAACTATCAAGGAACTTGGAGCAATGCTGTCGATCAGTGTTGGTAGTGTAGAAGACATCATGAAATACCACCTGCACTAACACAAGGTGAATGCACGGTGGGTACCACACACTTTGACAGACGTCAACAAAATGGTGCACATGCAAGCTGCTAGTCATTTCCTACAGCAGTTTGAAGTCTATAGTTACCACCGATGAAATGTGGGTGCAATACTTCATTCCCGGGTCCCAGCAGGCATCATGCGAGTGGCAGCATACCAGTTCTCCCAAACCCAAGACAGCACGGAGGAGCCGTTCGGCAGGAAAAGTGATGACAACGTTTGTCTGCGACTGGCAGGGGGATATTCATATAGACTTTCTGACAAATGCCAGAATAGTCAATGCAGCTTATTACTCAGACCTCCTGGCAACAGACGTGAAGGAAAAGTTCCGATCCAAGCGGAAGACAGGTGGAAGGCAGGTAGCCTTCCTTCAAGACAATGCACGCCCCCATACAGCCAAAACAACAATGGAAACCCTCTGGAAATTGAAATTGAACCTTCTGACACATCCGCTGTACAGTCCCGATTTGGCCCCAAGTGATTTCTACCTGTTCGGAAGGCTCAAATCAGATATGCAAACATGCGGTTTGTGGACAACGCTGTCATCCAGACTGTTCAGGAATGGATACGCCGCCAACCACAAGACTTTTTTGAAAAGGGCATCAGGATGCTTCCAAAACGTTAGAAAAAATGTGCTGACTCCAGAGGGGAGTACGTTGAAGACTGACATGTGCAAGTAAGTGTTTGGCAATTATGGTTTTTTAAAAAAAAAATCAGTCCCGGTCATATTTGAGCCACCTTGTACACACACCAGATCTTCTAATCCACTGTTGCATGCACCACTGCACATATTAAGTCTTCTATATTACACTTGGCATTCTTGGTTCCATTGTGCGTGCTTCCACCGCTCTCAACTGCTCAATACTTGTAACTGCCTCAATACTGAATCAACAAAGTCAAAGTCATACTGTGACTGATGATCAGCCAGTCAGTAAGTCTTGGTATCAAGCACCCTCCTGGGGCTTATGACCAGATATTTATTACTCCTCGACAGTTATGGTCTTGTTTCTGTGGGGCATCCTAACGAGAGGATGGGTGTCTTTTATTTATGCTGCTGGCCTTTTCCAGCGCAGTGTTTCTCGGGTCCTTGTCCCTTGGGACTTACGACCATATTTTACTGTCTTACATGTGAGACTTCCCTTTTCATCACCTTCTACGACTCACAGGGTCACGGTGGAGGTGACCGCCACATGCTGACAAGTACTCTTGTTATGTAGCTTCCGGCCTGACCACACAGAAAATGTGTTTACTGATTGCCTAGCAACATTCGCTGCACGGACTCCCCTGTTGCATGATGTCATAGCCTAGCGGGGAGGGGTGTTTACCACACTATGTTACACAATGAGCACTCGTTGCTATGGATATTCCTATGCAACAGTCTCAACAATTTCCATCGTTTCGTTGCTCAATGATGGATGACATATAACATGCCACAATGTGTATCATGCCCATATGCTGTCTTGTAAAGATCAGAAGGCTAGTATTTAAAGTATGCTATGAAATATAATAGAATTTTTTGATTGATTAGGATCTTGCTGTGAATCCCAGTGATGGCCATGTTCCTTCACAGTAGGTCATGTTCATTGTGTTGATACTGTGTGTTTGTGGTGCTGTGTGGAATCTGTTTTGCTGAACATGATCATCACTAGGATTCACAGTAAGATTCTAATGAATCGTAAAATTCTATTATATTTAACAAAACTTATGTAGCATTTCCTATGAAGTGTTGGCTGCCTTCCGATGATGGCCATCATTATCCTAAACATGTAAATGCTCTATTTTATTATTATATAACATTGCTGCACTCGATGGAATGCAATCCTAATTTTACCTACTGGTTACACAACTATTCACTTAACAAAAAAGTTTAAGTTAATATTTCTACTTCAGGTTCCTCCGACTTTTGTGGCAAATGAATTAGTGTATGCTGATTATAGCTTTCTAGTGATGTGAAACCTGTACCACACACTCCACAGACATGAAGTTTATCTCCACTATGCATCAACTGATGTGTTTTCAAATTACTTAAGGCAGTGAATGATTTGCCACAATTCCTGCATGTATGAGGCTTTTCTCCAGTATGAGTCAGCTCGTGCGTTTTCAAATTTCCGCGAACATTAAAACTTTTCCCACACACTTTACATGAATATGGCTTCACTCCGGTATGTATAAGTTCGTGGGTCTTTAAATTCCCAATAACTGTGAAACGTTTTCCGCATACTCCACATCCATGTGGCTTTTCACCTGTATGGATAAGCTCATGAGTTTTCAAATTGCTACGAGTTGAGAAACCTCTATCACACACGCCACATATGTGGGGCTTCTCTCCGGTGTGTGTCAGTTCATGAGTTTTCAAATTTCCAAGAACCGTAAAACGTTTGCCACATACTCCACAGACGTGTGGTTTTTCTCCACTGTGGATCAGTTCATGTGTTTTAAGGTTACCCTGCAAATCAAAAGTCTTCCCACACACTACACAAGGGTATCGCTTTTGGCCAGTGTGATTTAGTAAATGTGTCTTGAGGGTACTCAAATCTTCAAATTCTTTGCCACATTCGCCACATAAAAATGGCTTTTTGTCTTGGCTTAAATATTGCTGTAGAGGCAAACCTGGTATGCCTGTCAAAAAAGGTGGAAGAAATCTGCTTGCAATTGATGAGTGTAGATCAAAAGTTCTTCTAGAAGGTCCTGGTTGGGTAAATAAGTCCACATGGCTTGGTGAACATATTTCTGAAAAACTAAAAGAAAGATTTCAGTATTTTTATCCATTAGAAGGAGTGCAACTTGATTCATTTATGTAGTTGTCATTATGTAACAACAGTTTCTGCTATATGATTCATTAGTAACTACTCAGTGTCAGACATTCAAAATAAAACATACTCAAATTATGATATTACCTTGGTCTTTCAAAGTTGGTGGATTTTAGTGAACATTTTTCTTCATTTGATTCTTCCATGTAGATCTTCAGTGTTTTCACAACAAAGGCTATTACGATTCCATCTGTACACTGATAATCACTAGAAAGTGATTAAAATGACAGTTGATTCAACCTAAAATAAACATTCATCTCAAAGTTCTTCTTACAGGTAACTTGTAGTTTCAGATTGTGTATAATGTAAGTCCTTAAAAATGCACTCTGGGAAGAAACATTACATTGATCCACTGATAACATAAATATGTGAATTCAGTCTGTTCAATTTAATTTCTAGCTTTGCATTAATTTTTGCAGAAGTAACATATACAGAGCTGTCTATCCAAGAAATTCTAATTAATTCTCATTATTATTAAATCAGGCAATGAATAAATATAGTACCTGCAACCTAATAATGTTGAACATATAACAGCTTTCAGTCTTTTTATTTCAGATGGTATGGATATTTTACTCCTCTTAAACAATTTCAATAGTTGTCTTTGCTAACGTATTTCTTCAGAGTCAATTTCTAGGATTAGGAAAAAAGGTGTTATCACTGTTATGCCTTCACTAATGATCATCTCATATAAGAAATTGTAATTTCTTTTGGCTCATTTTGGACTTCACCCATCGTCCGGTATACCAGACGATGGGTGAAGTCCAAAATGAGCCAAAAGAAGTACATTATACACCATCATCAGAATCCTTTCAAGAAATGGTAAGATGGTGAAGCCAATACCATCTATCATGCCAACTAATCCATGTAATATACGAGTAATTATGCATGGTAAACGTAAAGTTGCTGGTCACGGTAGCCGAGCGGTCTAAGGCATGCACTGTCTTCGCTCACTCGGAAGCCGGGATCGTGGGTTCAAATCCCACTCAGGGCATGGATGTTTGGTGTTTGTGTGTATGTGTGCGTTTTTCTGTATTTGTGGACCAGTACAGGCCTTGCAATGAGCTGATCACCTGCCCAAGGAGTCCTACCGTATGTGTAAGATCTAGTAAACCGAAGTGAACGGAGTTCATGGTGATAGGCCTAGGCCCACTGGGGCTGTAGTGCCAAGGAAAAAAAAGAAGGTAAAGTTGTCCCTGTGCTTAACTAATTAAGCACTGCGCTGGTCACGGTAACTGAGCAGTCTGAGGCATGCAGTCTTTGCCAGTTCAAAAGCCGGGGCCATGGGTTTCAGATCCCATTCAGGGCATGGATGTTTGGTGTTTGTGTGTATGTGTGCGTTTTTCTGTATTTGTGGACCAGTACAGGCCTTGCAATGAGCTGATCACCTGCCCAAGGAGTCCTACCAAATGTCTAAGATTTAGTAAACCGAAGTGAAAGGGAAAGCTTCATGGAGATAGGCCAAGGCCCAAATTGGGGCTCTAGCACCAGGGGGGGGGGAACATCATGAAGGCATATGGGGAAGTGAATGTATAGATCTACATTTCCTTGACCTTGGCACTATTTGGATGTCAGTGGTCAGCTTCATGCCCCATCCACATTACCTCCAGTGAAAAACCTCCTGGTACCCACTGGATAGGGCTGGACATGTAGAAGAGAAAATTCTTCACCCTACTGGGACTCGAACTCCGACCCCTCTGTTGTCAAGTCCATGGGCAGTAGTTATATCGACTGAAGGGGGGGGGGGTATATTACTATTACATTTTTAACTAGCTGAGCAACTACACGCTGAAGCTCATTACACATCAACTACGCTTGTGTTAAAGCTTGAATTGTGGCTGTATTTCACATACTTGCGCCATCACTATTACGTTACGATTTTCCAAAGCAAGAAGAAAAAGAAATTCTTATTTTGTATTGCTCACTTTGGATTTTGGACGCCTTCACATATGAATGAAGTATTCACATTTCTTGTACAAATATTTTTATGTAACAATATTATAAATAACATTTCTGGGCAGTAACTAATTAAATGGAATTATTACCCATTACTCAAACAAAAGTTCCAAATATTAACTTTTAAAATTACTGAAACATCCTACACTCTTAGTCCTCTTAGCTGAATAACGCAAACGTACACGACAAAATCTAACCCCACTATAGTATCATGGAATGAAGTCACATAAGCGCTTATTACCAATGGAATGTAAATAGAATGCCTTCGAGATGTTAATTTACAGTTCACTAATGTGTACTTACATCAGAAATAGTGACATATTTCATGTCCTGCTCGAAAGCACCTTGTACTTTTCTTACCAAACAATAGCATCATGTAATTAAACATAACAATCCAACCAGCCATGGTTACTGTCATTAAGCAGGTTTAAGCCAATACGATATCCCCTAACTTTTCTGCCACTAATTGAAAATAAATGCTTTGATATCAGCTCTTGAACACAAAACTGTTTTGGTACAATATATTACTGGGATGTGTGTGTGTGGGGGGGGGAGGTTAGGTGAAAAAATATTTTGCTTTTTAATCAGGGGTGGAAATAACTACAAAACTAACTAAACTTTGAGCTTAGATAAAAAGGGAGAGGAATGACCAAATCGCACTAACTTTACATGAAAAAATGCAGAGGAATGAACAATTCATACTAACTTTAGATGAAAAATCCGTAGGAATGAATAGCACCTACGCTATAGCAGTGTTTTTCAAACTGGGTTCCACGAAACGTTGATGAAATCTGGTGTACTTTTACGTTTTCGTAAATATTTCTACTGAATTTCTATAATATTAAACTCAGAATAAGAGACTCAGGATGACTGTTTTTTTCTATGTCCATTATCAGGTATTCTGAAAAACCAGAAAACACACGTTTCGGAAACTGGATCTGTTTCCGTCCTTGGGTGAGACACCTACTTTGTGGGGTTTCTTAGAAAGAACTAATCACAGTAAATATACCGGACAATACATATCACTATACTGTCACGATTTTGGGGTGTGACTGTAAGCGGGTTATGGATTGGCGTATGGATTTATTGATTATTTATACACACCACCCAGAACTACATGTAATTACAGCGCTACTGTTTATTTCCACAATTCACAAATACCACAGCACCCACTAAGCTTCTACAGACTGATGTGTCTTAACCGGTCGTTCCCTGTCAGAGGCTCGTAACAGTGGAGATTCTTCAGCTTCACACGCTTAGGTCCTGTTGCCTCAGCCTCCCTTGTATTGCTCAACTGTATAGACTGGTTCTCAGGCTGTCGCCATTTCACAGCAACCTCCTAATCTTCTATTCACAGGATGACTTTCAACTTTAAGCTGAACTGGTTACCCCAATTTCCTTCTTTATAACTACTTTGCATGAACCGAAAAAAAACACCGTTTCCAACAATAACTTGATTGTTTTAGAGGCGTGTTTACCGATCCGTTACTTAGAAACTGGTTGCATAACCCCGTTCTTCTTTTTTTTTGCGTGCATGTTGCGGGTGTCACCTAGAAACATCAGCTGTTTACAGAGTCGCGGTTAGCACCGGGTCTATACGCCAAATCTCTCCCTCCTTAAGGCTATTCGTCCCTAATAGCCTACAGGCGTACTGCCATTACTTCTTTTCTGAAGGTTATGTTTGCGACCCCTGTGGTCGATCTACCTTCCTCTCCATGGCTCGGCTTTCACACTGACTTCTCTCCAGCCGTTTCCGCTGCACCCTTCTTAAGGTCGCTCGTCCCGTGCGGTTCCCTCATAGGATGCCAGTCGGTCCAAGTTTATCACCATCAACTTCCTCCGGTCGGCGCAGGCAGAAGTATTTAGAGTGGCCGGTGATCCTACATCTCCTGCTGTTACTTTGTTTGCAGTCTCTTCTTTCGTTTTGGAGGGGGCTGACCGCTCCACAATGTTCTGGCAGCCATTTTCCGCGATCTAATGGAAGTCCAGATTGTTTGCTTTGCGAACTCAAGACCGCGAGTTTGTCCGCGGCCCTCATAAAATATATTCACGCTTCCCAGACGTAGTTCCTGTCTCCTGCTTCGCCCTCTGATGCCGTTCCCCATTGCCATCTCCTTCCTCAGAAGTAGCTGGCGGATTGCGCCTCGATTCCTTATGCCATTGTTGAATTCCGATTGCTCCCAACATCTCCTTCGGAACGTCTCTCCTTTCTTGATTCCTTGTTCAACATTTCCCTGGTCCGCATTTCCGTCGCCTATGTTCAACCATCGGTCCTTTATAATTACGTCTCTGATGACCGTGTCTCTTGAGCGATGCAGGAATGGCATGGGGGCTCATCCTCTTACAGGCGGCTGCCAATTTTTTCCGGACCCACCATTACTCTGGGTCCGCTTCTTTGGCGAACCACGGAGCCTTACGGCTAGATGCCGGTTCCCATGCCGCTTCTTCAGTGCTCCGATAGATTTCACTAGGGTGTTTTCCTTAGGGGCATCCTACCGCTCCGCCGAGGACTCTAGTTCGTCTGCTTTGTCTCCAAATCCGTGGTCTCCGTTTCTACTAGACATACCTCCCTTTTATCTAGCTGGCAGTCCAATCTGACCATCCTTTCGTGATGGCCTTCCATCCTGGCCAACATTTCTCCTTGAGTGGACTTTGTCCTGCCTTGGTGGATATCCATCAAGGGGACAAGAGTACCTTGAAGGTCCTCAGACCTTTTGTTATTGGCTTCTATTTTGGTTTCCAGCCTTGCTGTCATTTCTTCTCTCATGTCTCTTAGACAGGCGTCCGTTTTTTTCCTGTAGGTTCTGATTTCAGCCAGCAGGCGTGCCGTCATTTACTCCAGTACCATAGTGTGATGGTTTAACGACCACGACCCAAATGCAGTATGCAATCGAACCACTTCTGACACCAGATTTTATCGATTTATGTGTGTGTGACTATATACGTGGTATGGATTGGTGCATGGATTTATTTCCATCTTTTACAAATCACTGGCGCACACTCAACGGACAACACTCACTCCAAAGTCAATAGCACATTGCTGTCGGCTGTCATATTTATACAGCACTCGCTGTCCATCACACTTTTCACCATCACGTGCGCTAATCAACCACATTGCTGCAACTACTCATATTTATACAGCACTCGCTGTCCAGCTCGCTCGTAACCATCACGTGCGCTAGCCAATAAGCGCTCACATTAGCAACTACAAGTCTAAGCTATGCCCACCAATTTTGGTATAAAAGGCGCAGCTCCAACCCAGCAATCATCAGAGCGAGTCGGTTGATTCGAGTAGTCAAAAGAGGTTATTCTTGTCAAGTCACTTGCGTCAGGAGAGATTGAGACACAGGGCGAAGGAGACTCGAGTAGGCGGATTCAGAAGTCACTTGGGGAAGGAAGGAGTTCATTGATTGAGTTGGTTATTGAGGATACTTTGGAGAGGAGAGATTGAGGAGTTACGTTGATTCGTCAAGTTCTTAGGCTATTCGGAGAGAGATTGAGATTTGGTCCGTAGTCTTGGATTCAGGCGCTGTGGAATTGATCACTCGCTTACCGAAGGAGTTTCGAGCAACCTAGAGTGATCATAGAGTGGGAGTAGTGTGTGTGTGTGTGTGTGAGTGAGTGGTGAGGGTGGTGCATCGGAGGTAGGGGCCGTCCCGCCTGCAGGCGAAATGGCGGAACCGACCTTGGCCAAAACGCGGTTGAAAGCGATCGTGGATTCCTTCGAGAGGAACCACGGAAACCCGAAAACTAACAACCCTGACTGCCGGGAAGAGGTATAATTACTGGGGAAAGGCTTACAAACAATAGGGCAGCTTAACCACACATCGTCCTCCATAAATGGAAACGGCAGAGTATGGAATCGGCTCATAGCGAAATCCAAGGCTGAAAGGATAGTGCTCTGTAAGCACCTCGATGATAAGGCCCTCTTCACAGCCATGCTGCGCCTGTAGGCATGCATCCACAGAGAGATGCGAGAGTCGCTCCTGGAGCAAAAAGAGGAATCTGCCGAGGAGTTTCGCGAGCAAAGAAGGCGCAAACGAAACCCCTCAGAGGAGCAGAATAAAAAGCCAAAGCCGTCACCCAACCCGAGGGACCCCAGGATAAAATCCCAGGTTGAAGTACCAACAAGGAACTTTTTTGCGACCCTCAGGACAACGGAAATGGACGTCGCGGAGGAGACAACCGAGAAGGAAGAGCAGCAGTCATCTTGCAGCAGGTCAGGTAAGCCTCCTCCCATTGTCCTAACCTCTGCAAGTAACCTGCTACAGTTGCAGAGAAATATCACACGCATTGTTAATGGCAGTTTTGAGTTCCACAACACCAGAAGTGGGACCAGAATTGTCACAAAAGAAATGACGGACTTTTCAGCCATTAAGAAATTTCTGGATGGTAACAATCTTGCCTACTTTCCCTTCTACCCAAAATCCGAAAAACCCATTAAAGCTCTAATCCGTCACCTCTCGCAAAATACTCCAGGGAGGATATCTCTGACGGTCTGGTGAGTCTTGATTTTGACGTTATTAACGTCAAGCAAATGACAACTAGTCGTCGGATACCTCCGGAAGGAGCAAGGACCACCAATTTTCCCTGTTCCTAGTGACCCTACCAAGAACCGAAAAGTCCCAAGAGCTCTTCCGGTTAACCAACCTCTGCCAAATTGCCATCAGGGTAGAGGCCTACAAAGCGCAAAACTGGCTTACACAGTACTATAACTGTCAACAGTTCGGCCACGACTGGGCTAACGGCAAACAGCCCCCACGTTGTTTGTGGTGCGGAGGTGGCCACTTACACAACGAGTGCCCAGAAAAGGAGAACTCTGCCTCCACCCCAGTATGCTGCAACTGCCGATTGGCGGAGGGAGAAAAGCCACATCCCGCCAATTATCGGGGTTGCAAACATGTCAAGGAAGAGCAAAAGAGAAGGAAGGTTCAGAGAACGTCCAAAACCACGGGGAGGGTGTTCTCTTCAGCCATCGTCACTCCAGGTGTCTCCTTCTCGGCGGCACGCCGAGGCAGTACAGCAGAGCAGCAACAGCGCCCTCAGGAAAGCCATGTTCCGGTGGCTCCAGTAGCAACAAAGAAGCAGATTGTACCGGCCCCTGCACTGCAGAAAGAAACAGGACAGTCAGTTCAGGCTACTCATGTAAACGGTCAGTCTCTCGACAATATGTTGAGAGCAGTGACTATAGTACAGCAGATTATGACAGAGGTCAGTGGTGAAGTGTCCGAGGAGGACAAAATAATGGCCATTACCAAAATTGTTCTACACCTTATGAAACAAAATGGCCACTATAGTTCATAGGCCCCTCAAATTCATAGCATTTAATGCGAACGGCATTGGGAGGCAGCTCTACGAGCTCAGTAAACAGCTGCAAGACCTACACGTAGATGTGGCCCTGTTTTCAAAGACACATCTGAAACCTCATGAGAGGTTCTTTATTCCAAATTACCACTTTTATAGAATCGATCGCCACTCTGGCAGAAAGGGCGGAACTGCCGTTGCAGTAAGAAAAGGCATTCCCCATAACTATGTAGACCTACCACCCCTTGTTTCAGTAGAAGCGACAGGGGTCTGCATACCAATTGGTAACAGCGAAGTACTGCTTGCAGCTGTTTATAAATCCCCAGGCAGAACCTGAAGTGATGCTGACATCATTGAGCGCTTAAGCTTTAGACGTAAGTCTATTTTGGCAGGTGATTTGAATGCTAAGCACCCATTTTGGAATAGCAAAGTTTCAAACCCCTCAGGCTTGAAACTAATGATTTTATTTGATATGAGTGAATTTGAAATTTCAGCACCACAGTGCCCCACTCATTATTTCCCTGCGGGAAATTGTGACGTGCTGGACATTGTGGTTCACAAAAATATCAGAGTGTCGGATGTCATCGTCTCTGATATTTTTGATTCAGATCACCTACCAATAGTATTTCACGTACTGGATAACGTTAAGATTAGGAATCTATCGGAACCTATTGAGAAATTTACAGATTGGGAGCGGTTTCAAAGCCTCGCCTCTGAATTAATATCACCTAAACTAGAAATTAATTCGGGGGTAGAAGCCGATAAAGCGGCACGCGACTTTGCAGCCTCTATTGCTTCGGCATATAGGCTGTCGACAAGTAAAGTTACACTTTCGGACATAAACAACGATCTTCCTGGTCTAGATCGTTTGATAAAATATAAACAGAGGCTACGAAAACTGTGGCAAGAAACCAGGGATCCAGCGTGTAAAACGGCAGTCAATTGGGTCACCAAATCGATCAGGCGAATGGCCCGAAAAAGGGACTTGAACGGTGGGAAACAAAACTAAATAACTCTGAAGTCACACTTCAGGGTATATGGCCCATTGCGAAATCTATTTTTAAAAGAGACGGACCAAGGCCGCCAACTGCTATTCATGGTTCTTCTGGCCTAAAATTTTATCCTTCTGAAAAAGCCAATGAAATTGCCGACTGTTTGGAAACTCAGTTCACGCCACATGACCTGTGCGATGAAAACCATGAAGAGCGGGTGGAGGCTAGAGTTCAAGCTCTGCTGGAAGCCGTGGATGAAAACCCCCCTCTAAGGATCAGACCATGTGACGTTCAGAAATTAATAAAATCCCTGAAATTAAAAAAGGCCTGTGGAATTGACGGCATTCCAAATGAATGCCTCAGGCACCTTCCAAGGAGACCATTGGTTAACCCATCTCACTTATTCAATCACTGTTTTCGGCTCTCTCACTTTCCAAATACTTGGAAGGAAGCAAAAATAATAACTTTACCTAAACCGGGTAAAGACCCGAAATTTCCTCAACATTTACGTCTGATCAGCCTCCTGTCCACGACAGGAAAACTATTCGAAAAAGTAATTTTGAAATTCCTCCGTAAACATATTGAAGAAAGAGGCCTGCTCAACGCAAGCCAGTTTGGTTTTCGTGCACGTCACAGCACGACATTGCAATGTATGAGGCCGGCGGACCACGTGACCCTTAATTTCAACAATAAAATGTCTACGGCTGCGGTGTTCTTGGACATCGATAAAGCCTTTGATAGCACGTGGCACTCAGGATTGCTATATAAGTTATGGAAACTGGAATTCTCGAACAGTTTGACCAAACTTGTTGGGCCCTTTCTTTCTAAACGTAAATTCAGGGTCTCGGTCGAAGGTAAAATGTCAACGCCAAGGGAAATGCAAGCAGGGGTTTCACAAGGTTCGGTCCTTTCTCCTACTCTTTTTCAACTTGTGTATTAATGATGCCCCCCAAACTCATGGTGTTCACTTGGCCCTCTGCGGACGACACCTGTCTATATGCGACAGATCGCAAGGAGGGTTTTATTGTTAGAAAGCTCCAGCGCGGTCTCAGCTCAATGGAGACCCGATGTGAGCGCTGGAATATAAAAATTAATGAAGAGGAGGCGCGACCAGGATAACTAGTGTGGCCATGAAAAGGGTCGTATTTATGTTAGTCTAGGGAAAATAGAGGACATTGATTCTTCTAGCCAAATCGGAAGCTCCAATTCCCAGCTCATATCCCGGCAGGCGGACCTCTCGAAGCTCGACCCTTCGTTTCCGACTCTACTACTCTGCTTCTGCTTCTCAAGCCAAGTTCAAGTCCAAGTCATATTGCGACTGACGGTCTGTCAGTCTGTCTGTCCTGGTGTGGAGCCCCAACTGGGGCTCATGACCAGATATTTCTTTTGAATGAAAGTTACTGTCTTGTCTGGTGCCCTCACTGACGAGAGGTCGGGTCTGTCATTTGTCAGTCAGTCTGTATTAATATGTCCACTGTCTGTATTTACATAAATTTACAATACACACTTATTTCTTACTTTTATGTACAATATATACAAGGCCTCTGTCAGTCCAGGCTCAGTACAGCAGATCACGCCATCCATGATATGTACACAGTGGCCGTCTTGTAGTGCACTCAGTTTCACCTGTTACTTCACGACATATTTCGGCAACATAGTGCCATCATCAGGTGCCCTAATTACGCTAATCTATTGCATTGCTTGCCATTATATGGCTTTATAGAATTATTTAAAAAGTATTTAAAAATTGCGTATTCGTAAACTATAATAAATTTACACACACTAAAACTTGTTAAGATTATTCATCTTATGTGTCTTAATTAAAACTTGCGTGTCACAAGACACGGTTTACACAGAATATAAGAAAAACGACTCCCATAATAGAAGAACCACACGCAAGTTTTAATTAAGACACATAAGATGAATAATCTTAACAAGTTTTAGTGTGTGTAAATTTAATATAGCTGACGAATACGCACTTTTAAAATACTTTTTAAATAATTCTATAAAGACATATAATGGCAAGCATTGCAATAGATTAGCGTAATTAGGGCACCTGATGATGGCACTATGTTGCCGAAACATGTCGTGAAGTAACAGGTGAAACTGAGTGCACTACAAGACGGCCACTGTGTACATATCATGGATGGCGTGATCTGCTGTACTGAGCCTGGACTGACAGAGGCCTTGTATATATTGTACATAAAAGTAAGAAATAAGTGTGTATTGTAAATTTATGTAAATACAGACAGTGGACATATTAATACAGACTGACTGACAAATGACAGACCCGACCTCTCGTCAGTGAGGGCACCAGACAAGACAGTAACTTTCATTCAAAAGAAATATCTGGTCATGAGCCCCAGTTGGGGCTCCACACCAGGACAGACAGACTGACAGACCGTCAGTCGCAATATGACTTGGACTTGAACTTGGCTTGAGAAGCAGAAGCAGAGTAGTAGAGTCGGAAACGAAGGGTCGAGCTTCGAGAGGTCCGCCTGCCGGGATATGAGCTGGGAATTGGAGCTTCCGATTTGGCTAGAAGAATCAATGTCCTCTATTTTCCCTAGACTAACATAAATACGACCCTTTTCATGGCCACACTAGTTATCCTGGTCGCGCCTCCTATTGGCTCGCTCGGTCGCGTGGGAAAGCCAATGGGAACTGTCAAGCTACGCAGTATTACTGAGCCAACGCCCAAAGCCTTCAATGGAAATTTAAGATCCTCTGATTGGCACACACTTGTGCGATTCGATTAATTACGATAGGTGTATTATAATCGATTCCAGTCATTTCCAGATTATCTAGTTTATGCAGCTGAGTACATATGCGTGTTCTGCATGTTTCCCTTCCCCCTATTCCAGTTACATCCCCTACTGTCAAGTTCCTCCTGAACTGAACTCCATTTGGTCCATTCTGTCCTATGGG